GCAATTTCCCAGTTTTTTGGGCAGTCGGGCAATATTCGATCAACAGTCGGGCAATTTTGGTTTGCAATTAAAAAAAATGGGACAAATTCTGTCAATTTTGTCTAAAATTAAGTAAATTTTTTGGCAAATTTTGTGATTTTTGGAAAATTTGTGTTATGTTCCGAAAAATATTGGTTGTCCGGAAAATTTTTTTGACCCCTAAAATGGTACACTGACCGAAATTTTTTTGGCGACGGGGGAGGGGTCGCCAAAATAATTTTTCCGGAAAAAAATTTTTGGTGCTAGTCAGCGTAACCCGGAAAAGTCGGGCATTAGTTGTATAAATATTTATTTTTGGAAGTAATGTGGAATTTTTGGGGCGTGCCACCGCCCCCAACTTAAGCGTCCTGTACGCCCATGCTTCTAATGAATAATCTACATGTTTAGGCTGCTTATTTTTAATATTTACACAAGGCCGCCAAACAGTCTGAAGAGTGCTATTTTGGTAGTCTGACAAACCCGGAAGTTTAAAACACGTCACAAGATATAAAACCGGTTTTGCAAGTTCTCAGTTCTTATATTGCGTGCCACCAGAGGTTCTCTTCGCCTCGCGTGAAATAAATACGAGCGGGAATAAGGCGAAAGATACGAGAACCTCTGGCAACCAGGGTAGGAAAAGTCGAATACGAGTGCGAAAGGCTTTGCTGGGAATCACTAAAGAATTACTGATTAGCGATTCCCAGCAAGCCTTTCGCGCTCATGCATATTCGACTTTTCCGCTTTGCTCGGGGACAACCTAAATAGAACTAGCTGTATATCAAGAATGTTGTGGCACCTCACTGAATAATATTTGATGGGTATTGACCGTATTGTTAATGATGGGTATTGTTTTTGATGGGTACTGGGTATGGGAATGAATAATTAATATTATTATTTGTAATAATTATTATTTATTTTGAATTATTATTTGTAAGCCACCTTCACCAAACTTACAGGCGAAATACCCAGGACCATTAGCTATCTTCACACGAAATTTCATGATCTGAATTTGAGTATAGTTTTTGAATGGGATCAAATATGCTTCTCGATTTTGAACGATCTAAATATTGTGAAAATTGTACATATATAATCAGTGGTGTCAGGCAATGAAGTAAATGTACTTCGTTACTGTACTTGAGTATTATTTTTGAGAAGTTAGCATCATGTAACAAAGTAAACTTTTTCTGGAGTACTTTAACTTGGAACGAAGTCGTTTTAAGAAGTAACGTTTTACTTCGTTATTTTCATTTTGTGGCGAAGTATTTCGTTACTTTCTAACTTTTGTTTAATTTTACATGACTTACTTTAATTTTGGGATAGGTAATAAGACCACTACATGCGTCTGGGATCTCTCGTTTGTGACTTACGTATAAGTATTATTTATTTAATGGGTTTCTTATATCTTCAACAGGGTCTGGAAAGTAGACCATGTCGTGAAATATTGCATATTTATAATGCGTGTGCTGTTTTGTGGGGTTTTTTGGTCTTTTTTTCTCTCTTTTTTTGTCTTTTCTTATCTCAATCCATCAATGGAGAAGTCCCCTCCCTACACGCTACAGACAATAGTACTTAAATCTTTGTACTTCAAGTATTTTTTAAGGATACTTTATACTTTTTACTTAAGTACGTTTTGCCTCCAGTACTTTTTACTCTTACTCAAATCGTTTTATTGTCAATTACTTCTACTTTTACTCGAGTACAAATTCAAAGTAATTTAGGCACCACTGCATATATTCCCGCTACCACCTGTAAGTTTGGTGAAGGTGGCTTAATTTTGATGGGTATTGGGTATGGGCATTGTTTTTGATCGGTATTGGGATGAGAATGAATAATATTTGATGGATATTGTTTATGGAAATCGACGAGTGGAAATTTGTATATATTTATTAGACCTGACCAGGAACAGAAGCGAAAAATACAACTTTAGGTCCCTGGCAGGAATTGAACCCGCGGCCCTGTTGCATGATACCAGTTTACTACATGATACTAGTTTATAGCCATGGCATCATGTTGTAAACATGTTCTCTTGTCATACTGGTTCTGGTATAGTAGGTATGGACATTGCCATTGGATTTGGTATAATTTTCCAAGTCCTCGCTCCTTATAAATATTCGACTGAAGACAGGAGTAAAGCTCATTTTTCCCTATATAATTATAGGCGAAGTCGGCAATGTGATAGTTATATTTTACATTTTTGCGACGAAATTTGTCGTTAATATCACGTTGCAGATTTTGTTTCGCTTTGATTCGCGCGAACAAGTTCGAAAATGTGCTTAAAGCTAGCGATCCGCTAAAATTGTCTCAAAATGTGCCACAGTATTATAAGATCAGCCTAGACCTAGGCCTTTTATTTTTATTATTTTTTTAATATTCAGCACTTTTTCACATGAAAAGGCTGGGACTAGGTGATTTGGGGGCGGGGCGGAGGATGCGCAAGCGAAAAAATAGAAGGCCTAGTGGATTTCCCAACAACAAGGCCAAAACTGCCCTGAAACTGCCCTGGTTGCGAAATGCCCAATTATTGCGTTCTCAAACAGAATTATTTGCAACTTAACAGCGAATTTAAACCGATATAGGTAAAATAAACTCATTTATAGTATAAACTTACTATTTTTATTTGTATACACGCCTAGAAAATCGGATTTTTTATCATAAAGTTTGAAGCAACACTGTTATTATGTTGCGAAAGGTCAAAATGAGTCAAAATATTACTACAAAATAGAACTTAGTTTAGTCATAAAATGTTTTTATAGTTAACGTAATAACTACTGGACAGTATAAATTGCTTTAGTTGTTGGTTTCTGATCAATTTCGGATCACAAAGTTATGGGGCTAATTTGAGAACTTGTGAAATCTACTAGGCCTCTACGAGGCAAATGACCATTGCGATAATTACCAGCCGAGTAAAGGCCTAGGTCTAGGCTGTTATAAGATTACAGCTACTAGCTGTAGAGTTTTTTACTTCGGGTCAAATGTTTTCGCTTATATTCAGCAATTGAGTTATATTATGGAAATTCATTGTAAGTGCATAAATTCACTGTTTGGAAAAGCAAATTTAAAATTCACGGAACTCGTCAAAGTTTTGTGATTCAAATTGATGAATTACAGCAGCTATTTGTTAATAGCCGAATTCATATTAGAGACGGGAAACTCATCTTAGACGGGAAACTCGTCTAATATGAATCCGGGCGCAGACGAGTTTTCCGTCCGAACTTTCCCGTCTAAACAGACGGGAAAGTTAGACGGGAATCTCATCTAGACGGGAAACTCGTCTTAAATTCGAATTTATCCGTCCCTAAATTCATATTCAGACGGGTTTTCGCAGACGAGTTTCCCATCCCTAATATGAATTCGGCTATTGTCTACATTGGCCATTACAGTACTTGTAACTTGCGATTGTCTATACGACCTGCGATTGTCTATGCGACAATATTAATTTAAGAACTATTCTATAATCTATATGATATATTTGAGAAGTGATGTTCGGCAAGGTAATATTTAAATGTCGTACATTCACATATTGTTTGAAATGTATCGATGTTCCAAAAAAAAGTTAGCCCGCCTCAGTAAAACTGCTGTCTTCTCAAGTAATAGGCATAATTCTTCCTTGGACGAAATTCAAATTAGTTGCTTTTTTCAATCGTGTCATTAAAGAACAAACCGAGTAATTTAATCGCTATTGACAATCGAAGCTATTATATAGCAAAACTTTAATTTATGCATTATCGCGTTATTTCTCTCAAAACGTCTTGTTTTATATCCGCAGCTGCTTTTGTATAATTAAATTGCACGTCAATTTTTTTAATTCCATATTTTAGTCCAAACATTTTCACAATGTAAATAAATTCGCTTCAACGTTGTTGTTACAAGTTCCGTAACGTATATTGAAGCGCGTATATTCATTTAATTTGTTAATCACCAGATTTAATGTGAAAGTTTTTGAATAATATTTCGTATGCTTGGCAACTGTAAGTTAAATTGTACCTTTTGTTTGCTTATTTCCCCATTGCTCGCTCAGAGCGGCCGTGAACGCCGGCTTGTGAAATTGCGATGATTTGGGACAACTTTATCAATGATTGTACATTTTGCTCTTATTTAGTAATAATCATAGCCTGTACTCTGTCTGGTGTGGCCGGCATTGCACTATCAGGATATTGCTGGTATAAGTAAGTAGACATTCAATTTTTGTGCAGTTTATATTTTTGTCTCTCTGGGGATGCAGCTGTCGTCGTCAAAACAAGCGCCTTTCATGCACCTCGAGAATGTGGGTTCGTCTGTCGCTGCGGACTCGTGCCATTTACCTGCATGAACAGTCTGTCCAGACAAGGTGGCACCCGCGATCCCTTCAGGAAAAAAGTAATTCATACCAATTTTCATACTCTATTCTGCCTCAAACTCTCTCTCTCTCTCTAAGTTTTGTTTTTAATACCTATTTGATCACCGCTTTCCCTTGACTGCCTCTTCATGTGCCTTTGGAAACTGTTTTGCGCCCCTATAATCTGTAGCTTTTGGGCCTCGAGATTTTGTCGGAAACTGCCAAACTCCGGAAGTTTGTCATCACTCCACCGAAAGTCATCATTTTTGTCGAGGTACTTCGATTTCCTCCCTCGGAAATTTTGACAGGGTGAACTTTAGGACAAATCCCGAACTAACCACAATTCAGTCGTAGTTGTGCTGGAGTTATATGGTGGCAGCCAGCAGGGCCATTACTATGGCACATTCCTGGAAACACATGCCGGGATGAATGAATGAGTCTTCCATTTAAAATTTATAGGATATCCCTTTCAGACGCAAAAGGTTCTGTTATCAATAGGGGTTCCGTCTAGACGGGATAAATGACGTGATCATATAATATTGCATTGATGTTGCAAACGGGCTCTCGCCGGCAACGTTTCGCTGGGATTATATTAACAGGCAAAGCCCCGATCAAATGAGAGTTTATGAGAGTTCCGGCTCTCGCTCGCATTTCATCGATTATTTGTACTAACCAGGGGGCGCACATTGGGGAGGGGTTGGGGGTGTCAAAGTCGGTCCCAGTTTTGATTGAGACTCTATCAAATGTAGGTCCCGAATTTGTATGGCAGTTGTATAATCCACAAGCCACAAATGTCTGGTGTAGACAGGAGCATTTTTTCATCCAGATTCTTCATCTCCGTGCCGAAAGGTGCATTTCCGAGCCTCAACTTTGCAAATTTTTTTCCCGGAGAAGCCTGCCCCCGGACCTCCCGCCAGGTTTCATCGCTCCTATTATGTTACATCATGTTAAATCATGTTTTGGCTGCCGTGTTTTCACTTGACGTAAACGTTTTACGCTGCCGTGAACGTCAATATTAACTTCTCTAATATCCAATTCGTACCGGAACATGAATGAATGAGAGTTAAAAAAAACTCTAATGTAAACTCTCGCTTGCCGCACTCTCATCAACTCTTGTCCCCTTTTAACCAGTGCTTATGCTTTCGACTCGCTGTCGATGTCTTTCAGCTGCAAATATAAAGATGATTAGCACACCCATTCCTTTGGTAGACGAAACGTTTTATTATAGCTTTAGTATTAGTATTTGACCTCCAGACACACTGGACGCGATTCGACAACGCGACGCGATTTTTCGTTTTTCACTGACCGATAACTTTGATCCTAGTTTAAATTTTCCAAATATTTAGAAGCGTTATAACCTGATTTTGAGTTATTTGGTCTACATATCTTTTAAAATTTGCTCTCATTGGCGGTTTTATTAACTTTCAAAAACTAAAAAATCGCGTCGCGTTGTCGAATCGCGTCCGGTGTGTCTGGACCTTAAGTAAGTTGTTGCCTGGGCCAAAAATTCACTTTCAGTATATAATGTGGAAAACATAACTCGCTTTGTAATGTATTCTCTGTAGGCTTCACTATAGTGATGACAAAGTGACCAAAAGTGATTATATTCCAGGAGTTAAAAAACAGAATGGCAAAAGTACACCATCTAAGGTGAGCTGCTACTCTAACGATTGAAACCGGAAGGTGGGAATCAAAATGTTCTATTAATTTCGCGTTAAATTTTATCATTTTTATATGCTTGTAAAAGCAAATTAAATTATGGCATAGTTTTTCAGAGTATACAATCGTTGCTTGATCGCAACGGGAACACCTCAGGCCCACGTTTCAGACGTCGTACTCTTCATGTGCCGAACTTAATTAGAGTCCTTACGATTTTAGGACGCCAACGCGACGGCAACGGCTACCAATGCAATAGATCATTGAAAAGAATTGAAAAATTACAATATATGAATAATTTAGACATTGTCCTCGCTCTGATTACAACGCCAAATCACAGATTTTCACGCCTTGATAGAACGGCTGCATTTCAAGCCGCAACAAGTGCAATTTCAAACGGGGTTCAGGAGAACTCTTCCCAACCATAAAACCCATGTCTTCAACTTCTAAGACTGTATTAAATTCATACGATTGATAATGTACGACGAATTATCTTTACTACCAATTATTTGAAGGAGTTTGTTTTGGCCGTCGTCGTCGCGTTGCCGTCCTAAAATCGTAAGGTCTCTATTGTATTAGATGCGACGCTGGAGCGACACAAGAACGGCAGTGATTCAAACGACGTACAAAATATGTTAGTCATGCACAACTAAGGTTGGGGCGCATTCGCCAGCGAAACCTAAATAAAATTCAAAACAATTTTTAAATTACAAGATGGCCAATCTATGCAACAAGCTCTGCCGAACTTGTGTGGAACTTTTCTCGCTCCAAATTATGCGTTACTTAATTGATTCATATACGTCGCTCTTCTGCCGTACCTAAATCCAGGGATGGATCCATGCAGCAAGGTCTTTCTAGTCGGGTGCTGGGTGAGCAGCCTCGGAGTGTTTCTTTATAATTCTTTAGGGGGGGTGATAAGAGAGCATTCAAATGAATTGGCTTCCTAAAGACTTGAGCGTCGAAGACACAAGCTCCCAAGGGGGTCCAGGGTATGCCCCCCCCCCGGAAAATTAGAACCCCAGAAGTGCCATTTCCTGCGATATGGGCATTGAATTATGAGCTTCAGTTGGACTTCAACAAAGGAAAAACCTTGGAAATTGTTCCATAGTAGTAGTAGTAGTAGTAGAACTTTATTTATCCACGCTGACCCCGTCAACCGTAGCTGATTTCCACGGGGGGCGTGTGCCAGAAAATTATTTTACATGCAGAATATGATAAGGATAAGCTAAGCTATTACAGTAATATATAAATTTAAAAGATATAACAAATGTTTTGAGCTATTTACAGGTAAGTTATATTTACAAAGGTTACCAAGCACTAATGCGAGCAGCGATTTTATTTCGAAAGGAAGAAAGTGACTTGCTTTCCCTAATTTCTTTTGGTATAGAATTCCAAATGTTTGCTCCGTCGTACATAAAACTATTTTTCATGCTATTTGTACGTGGTTTTGGTAAATAAAGACCACTTGAGACATCCCGAAGGTGGTAATTAGTTTTCTCACTCTTAAACGAAAATAGATTTGTGAGTGATTTTGGGCCCATTTTGTTTAATAACTTATACATCATTCTTGCTTTAGTTTTCTTCCTTTCAGTTTGGATATTTCCGAATTTCTGAATTTGATTTTTTTGCACCCCTTGCACCCCTGTTGACCAAGGCCAACTGGGGTGCGCACCCCTGTGCACCCCCCTATAAATCCAACCCTGTCTAAATCGTTAATTAAGTTCCGCACATGAAAAGTACGCCGGGCCGAAACGAGCCTAATATACCTTATGTATGATGACGTCACAAGGTGTGATGCGCGCGTGGAATTCTGGTCTCAGTAGTAGTTACGACGCCGTGAGCTCCATACATAGCTGGAGCAAGAACTTCAGTCATTCGGCCTATGAAATTAGTGAAGTCAAGATGGCGGCCATTAACGTCCAATAGCTCTGAAGTTCGTAAACAGTTTTTATACCATTTTTTCTCAGTTTATTCTAGTTTTTTTCTAACGGACCGTATCGCTATTCAAGTTTTCAGTTCATAAAATCATAATATTAGTCTTTAAATCCAAGTCAAAAATCATTAATAATTCATGAGGAAAACACAAAGAAAAATCATAACAGTGTCGTATCTTTATATGCGATGGAGATTTCCCTCCTGACCTCGGGTAAATTTATCCAACGGAGAGAGCATTTTTATGCGTTGTATAACGCTATCCAAGTTTCGTACAACGCGATTTTCTATCCGGATAAAATTTATGCGCTTGATTTATCCACCTTTCGTACAACCGGCCCTATATTAAATGTATTCACTTCTTAGGGAGTTCTTTTAATTCCACACTTTCACCATTCGGAAAAGTATAAAAGGAAAGCTCGGGATTTATTTTATTGTTGGTAAAACAATCAGGAACACAACACGTAAAACCATCATTTCTTTTACTGGTACTGGTCAACGAAAGCGGTCTGTTGCCGTTATACTTTCAGGACTGCCAAACCTCTGAAGACCCGTGCAAGACATGTTGGACTGTTTTCCCGCCATGGCTACTAAGACCAGAATTCGCCGCACGCATCACGCCTTGTGACGTCATCATGCTATTAGATAAATTTATTTTACTTATCTCACTTGCTTCTTCGAATCTTGCCATTTAGGTCATTATTTTGTTATTAGGTATACTCAAATGTTTGCACCTACACGAGCTATTTGCAAATGCAAGGCCGACTTTTCACCTCATCTATATCGAACATCGAACTTTCTAATTGCGCATGCATGCATATTGCTGCAAGATTATGCCTGTTTTCCACTTCAATTGTATTGTAACGTACCGTAGTATTTTCTTTTGTGCATGTCAATGTCATAGTTGCTCAGGAAACAAAGAAATACGCTACGTTTCTATATAGGCATCAGGGGGCGAAACCAACCTCGTACCCAGGGCTAGTCGCGAATTGAAGGCGGCGACATAGCCCTGGTAAACGCTGGTCACGTGACTCCAACATTACATAATTGTTACTTTTCTCAACCGGGGGGTGAATAGGTGAAACTCGAAGACAAACAGTTTTTATCTCCGAAATTCTTCAATCTTCCTTGTGAATTTTGCACTTCAAGCTTTTCTCAAAGTACGGCGATCGATCAAATGGATCAATACTTTCTGTAGAAAAAACTCAGTGAGATTTGTTCCAATGAGACGTTTAAAAGACACGGATATGTTGCCAAAGACGCTCGATCATTATTTGCATAGGTTTATGGAATAGTACTTTGTTGAGTTTGTTGCGACTTGCGAAGCAAATGAATGCAAATTCAACTCTTGTATAATGACTAAAAGTTGGTTTGTAGAGGGACAACTTATACAAAAGATATGAATACATTAGCTTCAAACTTGGGACAAGTTCATGGACAATGGACATCCCTAATATATGGACATTGACATTTCACCAATATGTAAATATGACTATTAAATATATAAAAGGATTGCTGTTGTATTACTTGTATATGTACAAGTGTTGTGCTGTGGTATTTACGTTTTTAACCCTTTAAGTGGCAATGGGCCATCCATTTGATATACCCCCCCCCTATGGACTAGAATTTCTGAGGGGATTGAAAAAGCCATTTCTGAGGGGTTGTGTGCATCAGCATCCTTTGATCTTTGCATTTTTTCTGAGGGATAAGGCAAAAATTTCTTAATTTCTGGGGGGGGGGGTGTTGGTGTCGGCACTTTGATTTTTTTCTTCTTAGGGGTTCAAATTTTATTGAACTCGTCCATAGGGGGGTGTATACATTAAATGGAATGGCCCACTGCACCCTACTTTGTTAGTTTACTCTGCCTAACACCAGACAATTTTACTCGTCAGGTGGAGAGTGCATGGTGCCACTCAATGGGTTAACATAGTCGATGAACATGCCAAATGATCCTTGACCGTGGTAGTGCATTTTTGCACTTGCTGGATGATATCGCAAACAAGCATTGTTTCAGCGGAAGAGCACTGAGATCATGCTGTGTAGCAATTGGAATCTCGCACAGAGTCTGCTCTCACATAAAGCAGGCAA